TACTTTTTTTTTTTTTTTTTTTTCCGTCAAATTTTAACGGCGAGCTTTCTCCTTTTTCTTTTTTCTTTTTTTAGATTTTTAAAGCGAAAAGGAATTGTACGATAGATTTGGTAAATGTTTCCCGATTCCAAATTTTTTCTTTTTCAGATTTTAGAAATTGTTTTAGAATCGTACGATAGATAGATTTGGAGAATATATCTGAATATACCAAATTTAATTTGGATTCGTATTTATCTTCTTTGTCGAGATTTTTTTTTTTTTTTTTTTTTTTTTAAGAGAAGATACAAAAAGCTAAACGAAACGCACTTTTTAATATAATGCGATGATTTTCGTTGAGTGCGACGAGATTTTACGAAAATTAATACGGTGTCACGTATAGTTGAGGATTGCGAGTTTATTATTCTCTTCATACATAATCACTTCAAGTTCAGTTAATAATAATTATTGAAGATAGAAATTTGCAAGTGTCTATGTTATAGAATTTAAAGTTCACTGAAATTTTATATATATGATTTCATTATTGAATGTTGTCAGCAACATTACTATTTCATAGTTGGTAGCTATTTGTTTCTCTTCGATACACGTATTTCAAATGTTTTATAAACAGATACGCGCAATCACGTATAATCAAATATATTCATTCAGCTAAAACCGTATATTTTATTTATTGTTTTCCATTGCCCAGTCAACAGTCTATTGTATAATATATATTCTTATCTATATTTAAATAGTAATAAAACAATTTTCAATAGTGAACAAAAAAATTCATATCAAAATATTTTTAATCTATATTATATAAAAAGAAATTGTTACGTTTTTCTTTGTGTCAACGAATTTCCAAAGCAGGGCAATTTAAATTTTTCGAAGGAGGAAAAGAAAAGAAAACTTGTTTCGCGAGACAACGATCCCATTAAACTCCCTTTGATTCGATCGAAGATAGATGGAGATCCATCCGGATAAAACCGTTGCTCACGATACATGAAAAATGAGCGAGTCGTGGAATGAGAGGGGGGAGGGGGTGGAGGAAGGATAGCATTTCGCGGTAAGGCGCAAGGGGTGCCGATTACCGAGCTTTCGATATCTTCTCCCCCCTCCTATTTCCTCCTTTTCCTCGTTTCTCCCTTCCATTTTCGTTGCTCGGATTTCGAGTGGAGGAAGAGGAGGAGAGACGGTGAAAGAAGGGAAAGGAAGAAGGGAGGGGAAGAAAGGAGGAGGAGAGGAAAGAATGGAGAGGATCGATCGGTCGCGATGCGATTCCTGATTGCGAGCCAAGCGAAACGAGGAGACGCGAAAATCCAGACTTCCCTTCGAACTTGCTCTTTAAACGAGTCGAAAATAGCCGCTTCTTCTGCGCTACGGAATATAAGGGGATGGAATCGGGTCGAAAGGAAAGGAGAGAGAGATTTTTTTTTTCTTTTTCGAGGGCTTCGTTTTCGAGTAGCAGGAGTAAGAGTCAAATTGGAAAAGTTTTCAACCGGAATTTGACTAATTCCTCTTCGATCGAATGCCAATGACGATTATTATCCGGTAGGAGGAGATAAAAGTTCGCAAAATTGAAAAGTTTTTCGTCGACCGATTGTGCGTGAACAGAAAATTTTCTTTGAAATACGGAAAAAAGTGTCACGTTTTTTTTTTTCTTTTCTTTGTCGTCGTTGTTAAGGAAAATTGTTGGGCGTGGCCAACGAAGAACAGCTTAATTTCGAGTTAACGTGGTAGCCGATATTAATAGCGGTGTTAATGAAGAGAGAAGGTCGGTGATTAGGTTCGGTTTTGATACCGTACCGGAAGATGGGCGGATAAATGGTGGCTGGCTCTCGTAAGATTGATTTTTGTTTCTGAAATTTTGATGCTCTCCAACCGGGTCTATTAATCTTCCTTGTCAGCGCACAATGTGTCCACCATTGAACCTTCGTATCTATGCTCGAACGATGTATATTATAAAAGGTGGAATTCGGTGGAAAAAAGATCGATCATTACTTTGTCTACCGGTGTTGTTACTTTAGTTAGTTACGCGAAACTGTATTATCGGACAAAGGAGTTTTCGAGCGACGAAAGAATGTGTTTGGCGAATTTGAAATTTGTAGAGAGATTAGACTCCTCTTTTCTTTCTTAATTCGTTTCTTTTTTTAACGCAAGATTGACGAAAAAACGAGGAAAGAAATGATGGATGATGACATTCCCAAAGAGGGAGGGAGGGAGGATAATTAACATAATCGAAGTTTTTTGACCGCGTTAAAGTACACTCTGTCGATTCTTTCAACATTGAATAATTGGATATACTTATATACTATATATACATACATAGAAAGAGTTGTTTGTTTTAATAAATTGTACTCTCGATCCCCCTTTACATAGCTTTCTCTCGATCATTTCATCTTTTATGCATGTGTATTGTTGCATATTCATTAAATACTTTATCGTTTTAATCGATAATTCAACGCGGTAGAGGCAAAGGCATGTATAAAAGTTGGTTATATTATAATTTCACGATGGAGTGTACGAAGAGGGATAAAAATGAACATCGCGTCTGATCAACGCGGCACTCTACTACTTGCACGCTTCCGCCACAGGTAGTAAAAGTGAAATTCGTCGCTTGCTTCGATCGAAACGAATTCACGCGTATTCCCACTTCTTTTTAACACGCTTGGAATTTCAAT